AAACATTAAAATCTCAAATACTACATCTGAATCTTTACAATACCGTTTCACTTATCGATCAATTTCCCGTAGAAAAAAAAAAAAAGAAATTTACCAAATACTTTCCAAATATTTATTTTGTCATTCTGACTTTTATATATTGAAACTAATTGAATTCATTGAAAGTGATATATAACATAATAAAAATAACTATCAAAATCTTTCAGAAAACCTTATTCATATAATATGAATATGAAATTCATTAGTTATTATGAATAATTTAAAAGATGTTTTGAGTATAGCCGATAACAATTATCATAGTACATTATAAAAGCGCCTACACGCAGAAATTGAATGAACCATTAAAATCGATGAAAGATGGCAGACGTTGTACGTTGAAACGCATTCAACAATTGTCATCGTCACAAAGTAATCACAAAAGATGTCAAGAAAATGTCAAGGTCGTGCGAAGGCGTACAATAATAAGAACGTTCTCTTTTTTTACTTCGATGATATACATATCAATATATTTGTATATATGTATATATTATATATATTATATATATTATACATACATATCGTTAAAAAACGACTAATTAATATACGTATATGTTTTCATATATGCATTTGTGCATACGCATTTATTTTCAGTTACATCGAATGTCGCCATCGTGGGATTACGTAAAAAGGTCGGCTCTTTCTTTTACCCTCGTTTACGGATTTTTATTACGTCAAAGTGTTAAAAACTACGTCAAGAGGAAAAAATCGTTAATGGAAAATGTTTAGTTGCAAGAACAAGAAGGAAATAAAGAGAGAGAGAGAGAGAGAGAGAATAGCACGTGTCCTTACAATGCTAGTGACGTCACAACAATGAAATCATGGTCACCATGGCCACCCACCATGACCAGTTACCATGGAAACCAATACGCTAGTAGCGTGAGAACGCCCACGAGATTTAAATTTCGTTCGCGTTGGACGTCACGCCCTGCTTGACGCATAAATGCACTGTGATAGGTCAGGGATGAAAATCGTCCCCCTACGACCTACGTTGTATATGTAGCAACAGGTATATTACAAAGTGATAACTCTTTAATGGTTAATAAAAAAAAAGACAAAAATAAAATAAGAATTATTCATATGTGCATATGTAATTTTAAAAAATAAGATACCCACGCACACACCACTACAACGAACAACATATGAAAGATGATAATGAAAGATGTTGATTGCTATTTTTTCTTATTAAAAAATAAATAAAATATATTTATCCTAAAAAATATATATTAGATTTTATATCGTACGAAAGCTCGAATTTACACGTTGACATATAAAGACTCGAAATGTCAATTCGAACTATAATTATTATTGAATGTAAGAGTAAAGGGTGAGACACGATAAAGTACAAAGGTCGTATAAGAGCAAAGGGATTAAGGTTGTCGAGGAAAATGAAATTGTAGAAATTTTCAAATGCAAAAGAATAAGATAACAGAACAAAATTTATCGTATATAACTCAATAAAATAATTTAAAATAAAAACTATCGTGCACGTAAGAGACGTATTAATAATTGTAAGAGAAAGTAAAAGATTTTTGGAACGACCTAATACATATATGATATTTAACGAATAAATATTTGTATAATAGATCGATTGAGTTAGATCGAATGATAAAAAGAAGGAATAAAAAAGAACACTTACTTACATTATCACGTAACATACTGTTTTCATCGAAAACGATTAAATCCGTTCGGTATCAAAGAAAGAATGAGAATCGGTCGATAAAAAGGAGAATTGTTTTATCGACTGCGTTTCATTCATTACGCAACGAGCTTTCGCGAATGTAGTGACGATTTTCTTTAATCGTGATTAGAGAAACTTTAATCTTTTACAATCGAACTTTATTAATCGATTCTCAAGGAAATATCGACAAAGAGAAATAGATATACTTTGATAAATTAATTACGACGTTACGTGGCAATGTGTTTTCATTACAGGATCAACGCGTTTGTGAACCTTCAAACGGATGAAAGAGAGGGAGGAAGGGAGAGAGAGAGAAAGAGAGAGAGAGAGAAAGAGAGAGAGAGAGAGACGCGTGTGTATTTACGTTGCAAGAGAGAACTCGTGCCGCATCGTCACGTTCTTTTCCCCTTCTCCCAGATATTTGTCTACTCCCCTTCTGTAGTACTATCCAATCCTCCTCCCCAACTCTTGCGATGGGCTCTTTAACGTCATCGTTTTCCTTGTGGTAGATTACCACGAACTGATTTCGTTCATTGCTCTACCTACGTACGATACGATGACGTTACGGCGTTAAGTGATTTTTAGGTAAAACGGAAAAAAACGAAGATAGACGAATATAGACGAAATGTATGTAATACGAAGCAAGATAGAGTTATGACGTACGAGTATTAATAGAGGAAAAGGAAAATAGTTTGAGGGTATCGTTCCTTCGTTCGTTCCTTTATTCATTCGTTCCTTCGTTCCATCGTTCCTTCGTTTGTTCGTTCATTCGTTCGCGGTCGTCTTTTAGCCGTGAGACAGACGAATACCCCCCTCCTCCTTATCCTTCTCGCACGCCACCGCGCCGGCTAATCGTTCGGTGGTGGGGGAAGTTTGTCGGCATTGCCGAACATCTGGAATAGAATGCGCGCCCTCGTGCGGGAGTGGTTGGAATATAAAAGCGACGACACACACACCACGCGCGCATGCACACACATTGCCGATACCGAGAAAGAGTGGGAGATACAGAGAAAGAGAGAGAGAGAGTGAGAGAAGAAGAAGGATGGAAATACAAGATGAGAGAGAAGATAAAGCGAAATGTGTGTTTCACCATGCTTTGAAAATATTTCTATATAAGTTCTTCTTTTCAATCATTCGATAACTCGTTTGAAAGAATCAATATTTACTTTGTTTTGACATTACTAAATACATTTTTAGTTAAATACAAATTTATCTAACCTACGATATATACAACGTCGATCAAAATTATTGACAGAGACTTGCATGTACTTTTTCGATAACATTCTTTGTAAAATCTATATTAAATGCACGATTGTTTATTTAATTTTCTTTCTTTTTTTTTATCTATTATATCAATCGAGTCTGAAGTCGAAAAAAAATAGTCCCCCTATTTTTTATTATTTTTCCTGATAGTACGACCATTTAATCTCTCCGTGACTTAAAATATAAACATCAAACTCAAAGAATTAGAAGAAAATTAAGTAAAGAATTGTACTTATATTGTAGACTTACAGAGAATATTATAAAATAAAGGTTAATCAGTATCAGTACATTGATACGATACTGTATAGTATATGTACATTGTATATTAAACGTCAAGAAATAATGTATTTATTGCAAATAAATATTATTCATTCGTAAGTAAGATGCACGTATGTATAAAAGTCATTGTACGTGACACTGCTACGCTAACGATTCTCAGACTACGTGACGTAGTTGTTTATTTTTATTTATTATCATTCCCCTAGTCCATCTTCCAGGATGACGCAATTCAACTTCGATAGGGAAAAAGGAATAAATATATATGTATATATTTATGTATGTATGTATGTATGTACATATGTGGACATGAACAAAGCTCGTTTTCGTGAGCACGTCTCTCTCGATTGGCTAAAGATACAAGTTCACATAAAGAGAAAAGGAAAGAAAGAAAGAAAAAAAAACAGAAACTTCCGTTGTACATGAGTACTACTCTTTTCCTTCTTCTTGATTATACTTATCATTATTATTAGCACGAGTCGACGAGGTTGAGAGTCGTTGTTTTGAAAAAAAAAACATCACGGAAGAAAGAGAAAAAGAGAGATGAGGTGGGATACTAACATAAGTTGCACTGATTTTTCGAGGTCGAGTGAAAGACACGTGAAACAGAGTAAAATAGAGAGAGAGAGAGAGAGAGAGAGAGAGAGAGAGAAAAAGTGGAAATCTAGCTAACAAGAGATAGGAAGATGCGAGCTTAGTCAAGTATGTATATATATATATGTCTATATGTAGCATATAAATACATACATACATACGTGCTACTATCCGTAGCAAAAATCGGCTTTCCGTAAGTATGACGTCATCAGCAGAGCAGGATAGTCGACTGGCGCCCGGTCGATTTTTCAATCCAAAAGAACGTAACTTCCCAGTATCCTTGAAGCTAATTACAACATGTAAAGTGAGTAAAGTATGTAGTTAATATTGTGAAGAAACAAAAAAAAAAGAGAAACTTCAGATGTCATATTTAAGAATCCGAGATTTATAACCTACTACCGTTACGTTTAAACGAATCAATCGAATTTATAATTATAAGAAGATGCATAGTAAGAAGATAGAAACACTACTGGTACTAAATTAGAATAAAAATCTATTTATATATATAATCGCGCGTTAAACGTCATATCGAAGAAAGAAGGACCTGCATACCTATTGGAACTATATTAAAAATAAATTCTCATATATAAATGGTATAGATAGAAGTAAGGATTAGTAGTAATTGTAGGACACCCTATAGATGTTAAAAGATACATTCGTTGAGCTTTCGCCACGGGGAATCAGCTCACAGGTAGGATTATTCGAACAAATGACGCGCCGTAGCGATACGAGCGCGTAAACGGTAACCCGACGATAAAGTCGACCACGAAAGCGGCGTAAAGCGAAGCGCGGTTGCTTTCGGCAATGGTGTGCACGTATGTGTGCGCGCGCGCGCGTACACCAGCGCGTGT